TATGGGTGAAATATTATACTCTGATAGTACTATTTTTAACAGGCACAAAAGAAACTACTGTGTTCTTAGCTGTAATAGACTGGTCTTTGCAACAATATTGAATTGAGTGAAATTTATTTTGTGGGGTTTTCCAAAGCTATAATCAGTGGGGGTTTTTTGGTACAGAAAAATTGTATTTTAGAATTAGTTTGTTAATGTCAACAATTTGTATTTCTCACTTGGTATTAAAAAAAAACAATGTCTTTTGAAATCAAAACAAATTTTTCTATCACCTTAAAAACAAGGATAATGGCTTCAATGATCCAGTTTCTGTTCTCAGTGTTCTCAGTGGCTTGATATAAATCAAAACTAACTTGAAGTAAATTCACTGTAATTAAAATATGCATACTGCTCTACATACTTGAACATCTTTGATGCTGAAGACTCTCTTCCAGATATCTTACTGAGTTATGATTTTATAGTCTGTGGGGGTTCTGACTGTTTTTACGCCTACTGTGACAAAATAACTGAAAAAACTAAATATTTTTGGAAGGGATTAAGTAGGCTATGACACTTATAAAAAATAAATCTGATGCTAAGTACCACCTTCTGGTTTATTCTGGTTTTTATGAGGGGTTTATTGACTATCCAGATAATTGTCTGAACTTGTCATTCATAGTCATTTGTGTTTTTTATGGGGTACAGCAGTAAGCCACTTAAAGAAAGACTTTGGCTTTACTGTCAAAACCTTCTCCTCTCTGCAAGTGGTGATTAGTGCAGATGGAGCAGCAGATGCAATCAGTACACGAAGAAGAAAAAGGCTTCTCCACACTAGTTAGCATCAGGAGTCTGAAGCTTTGAGAGAGGCCTCTCTTCAAAATATTTGAAGCTTTCTAAATAGGCATCAAAGAGGAACAGAAAAGTATCTACATTCTAGAACTCTGGCAGCTCATCAGAATATGATGCTCATATTCAAGACAAGTTCAATAAGAAAATATTTTAGAGTATTTCTTCTTTGCTCCTATTTGCACAGAAGCTCTGTCACAAACTTTAAAATACTGTTGTTATTCTTTATTATCCTTTAGTGTTCATTTTGTTGCCTTTCCCTTATTCTCATACATTCTAAATCCCACTATTTTTCTTTTTAGTTTCTGACATCATTCAATGAAAGAGAAAGATTGCATATTGTGCAGTGCCTTCATGATAAGCAAAAGGTACCTAAAGCCACACAGACTTATGGTCAAGGGCCATTAGGAAAGATTTCTTTGCATTATTTCTTGAATAGTGACATTGTTGGGTTGTTGCCTTCCAAGCCAAGTCAAAACATTATCAACTTGTAGAAGAATAAACATGGTGTCTTGTTTCATCTGAGACAGTTAATTTTCTTCTTGTCAATGCTCAAAGACATGGGTGCACTTTGTGGATAATGAAGAAGGATGGGGAAATCTGGTGTGTGTCTTAAGGGGATTTGATTTTGGGTGATAATAGCCGATGAATAAAATTGCATGATGTTGCTTGCTGTATAACACCGTGTAATACCACTTCTATGGCCTACTACCACACTGAGTGCCTCACAGTGTCTGTTTTTTCCACTCTGGATCTGTGGATCAGAACCTGACTCCCCTTTGATTACCACATCAATAAGAATGAACTTTGATGCAACCAAAAAGGTGAAGAGTCATCTGAGAGGGTACCTCATCAGTGTCTATCAGCATCTGAAGGGAGGATGTCAAGAGTATGGAGCCAGGTTCTTCTCAGTGGTGCCAAGCAAGAGGACAAGATACAGTAGTCAGAAACTGATGCACAGAAAATTCCACCTGATTATAAGGAAGAGCTTCTTTACTGTGTAGGTGACCACACACTGGAACAGGCTTCCCAGAAAGGTTGTGGAATCTCCCTCACTGGAGATATTCTAGAACTGTCTGGATGCAATTCTGTGCAATGTGTTCTAGGATGACCCTGCTTGAGCAGAGAAATTGGACCAGGTGACCCACTGTGGACCCTTCCAACCTGACCCATTTTGTGATTCTGTGAGTCTGTAAAAGGTGATGGGGTATTAAGAAGTGTGGGATCTGGTGTGATGTAAGTGATATGGAATAAGGGGGGATGCTGTGTTTGTTTTGGCTGGGACTGAGTTTCTGTGTGAGAATAATGTTGATAATACACTGATGTTTGATTGTTGTTAAGCAGTGCTTGCCCTAAGTCAAGGACTTTTCAGTGTCCCATGCTCTGCCAGCAAGGAGGTCCTGAAGAAGCCAGAAGGCAGCATAGCCCAGACAGCTGACTAGAACTGGTCAAAGGGATATTCCACACCATAGAACATCATGCTCAGTATATAAACTGGGGGAGAGCTGGCTGAGAGCCACCAATGGCTGATTGGGATGGGATGGGCATCAGCCAGTGAGTGATGAGTGATTGTATTGTGCATCGTTTATTTCTCTTGGGTTCTGTTGCTCTCTCCCTCTCTTTACAGCTGAGTATAATCACCATATTTCATGTTCTTACAATTATTGTATTATTGTTGTTATTTTCATTAGTTTGTTTCAATTATTAATTTTTTTATCCCAACACACAATGTTTACCTTTTCTTCTTATTCTTCTCCACACCCGGGGAGGAGTGAGGAGGAGTGACTGAGCTACTGTGTGGTATTTCATTGACAGCTGGGATTAATCACAACACAAAGGAATGGAGAAAGAGAGACAGACTTTGCTGACATCAGTGATGAACATTAACTTACTTAAAAAGTCATATTGACTTTCTCTGAACCACAACTCAAGAGTATGTATATCTAGTTCTAAATGCTTTCTTGCAAACTTTTTCCCACTGTCTTCTTACTATCAAAGGGTATTTTTTTTAGTTTCACTATATCTGTTTCTTCTTTTATTCCTTATACCTTCTCTCCTTATTCTTGCCTAAGGATTTCTCTCCCATTTTTTTTCCAGGGTTATGAAATCTCCGCTAGAAAATGCTGGGAGAAAAGCTGCTTTTACAAACATCTTTTTATATTACTCTGAATTTTTACAACTTGTCAAGCATTTTAGTTTATTTTTTGCTGATAGTGTGCAAATGACTGCCAAAAAACATTCTTTGTGGGTTGGGTAATGATAAATTTGGATTCTAGTCTTTCAAACTCAAACTCATGCTAAAAATAAGCAGAGTGAACATCTGTGACAAGCAGGTAATTTTTAATAATATGAAACAGTTCCTTTCTGTGGAGAATTACTACTCTCTCATCTCTAATCAATCTCTGCTGTAACAACAGCTGCCAATTAAGGATATTGTCTCTTGACAAAGTGCTCAACCCACATTTAATTTTCTTTAAATGTGTTGTGTTTCTCCACGGAAAGTGAGGGGTGTTTTTCAGTATTTCATGCCAGCAGAGGCTCATGTCATGTTATAGAAAGTGGTAAAATACTCCCAGATCACAGTGGAGCACTTACAGATTCAAGCAGAGTTTCTCAGGGGACAAATTCTCTCATCTAAGCTCATGACAATGCTGAAAAAAGAGGAATACTTATTTTCCCTTTTTTTCTTTTTTTTTTTTTTTTAAATATAGAAAACTCCACAATCCTCTATGTAGAAGTACCCTTATTGATTTCTGTGAGAATTTTTTTCTTTGATATTACTAAACATATTGATCTAAAAGTTAGCTGGTTGTGTTAGCTACGTACTACATAAAAAAAGAAAGAAGAGAATCCAGTGGAGAATCACCCTAATTCAGACTGTAAGTTTTGAAGGACTGAATCTATTAATGTAAACACACCTTATATTGTTGCTGTTGAATTTTAGCTGTATATATTAGAGAATATAAAAGCAATTCTTATAATGTTTAGTTCACATTTTATTGAATGTCTCCCCTTTGCTTGCAACTTTCTTTTTCTGCATCCAAACACGTATACAGAAATTCACCATAATAAATTTCACAAAACCGTTGAAGCTTTGGTGATTTGATTCAAATTACAGTAAATATTGCTGGATGCAATTTTAAGGCTTATCTGATGTTGATCAGGTTGCAAAGAATGAAACCCATTATTGTCCTTCTTGTGATTCTTCTCCATTCAGTTTCAGGGGTTTTTGAGTTTTCTTACTAAAAGGCAACTAAGATATATTGAATAACTTTGTAACCAGGCAGGCAGAGACTGGCAAAGACAAAGATTCTTTGGTTTTTTTGTAACAAGCTCCTAGTTTCGTTTAGTGATGCAAGAAACTCAATGGTTAAATAACAACTCGTGCTACCTGCAAAACCGGCCATTAAATTTTCCTGTAAATCAGTCAGTATGTTCCTAATCTTCACAAAGTATGAAACTTGAAAAGAACATCAACCAATGCTTAAGGAGACTGTCCGTTCTCATGTTATTTTGATTCTAGACTTTTGTTTGGCTGAAAAACCACATTCATGGCTGCAAGAATGTCTGGATAATTAAGAGACTTGGAAAAAATCTCATCTCCTGGGAGTTTAAACAGTATTTAGCTTGTCTTATTTTGTTGATGAGCAAGGCTTTTTCTCAAAAGAGAAAGACCCATGACCAGAACAGTATAAAGCTGATGTATTTAAACACTCCCAAAATTAACTTATGACTGGAACTTCAATTTAGAAAACCAAGAGGTTGCCATTTGGTTGGGTTTTGTTTATTTTTAAATATGGTTTGATCTGACTTATTCTATTTCTAATTGATGGATTACTGGATGGGCCTCACAATCTGAGGAGTGAGCAGCCTGTCAAACCATACAATAATTTTTTTTAGGTATAAATGACTATATGCAGCATGTGCAAACACACATGCATACATAAAAAAAAAACAAAACCAAAACTCTACAGAACCTTAACAGAGTTTATATCAAAGCTTTATTTTACTTGTGCAGTATTCTCATTCCAGTTTGTATCAGAAAACACAACATGTTTGGATTTTATTAACTGGGTAATATCTATGCTTTGTACAATGTGTTCTAAAGAAATACAAATTAAAAAAACTAAAAAAAAGAGAGAAAGAAGAATAATGAGAAATAACTGAATGTGAAAAAACAAAGAAGAAACAGAAGAGGAACACAATGGGAAGGGGAAAGATGGAAAAAAAAGGTACATGGAAATTTTGGCTTTTAAGAAAATGATGGATAAGTGTTAAACTAGTTTCTCTTTAAGCTGTATCATTTTCTGGAAATGCCAGAAGGCATAGACGTAGTTATCAAGATGATAGATCTTTTCTTCCCTTAGTCTTGAAGCTAGACAATTTTGTTTCACAGGACTTTTGTTTCACACAACTTTTGGAATTTCACTGTGGCTGTTGATGATTTCCTTTTCTATTTAGTAAATACTTGAATTTTATCAAACAGTCTTGCTCCTTGAAAATATTTTCCTCTATTAGTTCTTTATTTGTAAGATAGTCGTGAGCTTCTTGCTTGATGCTTCCAAGAACAACAAACACTGCATACTGGATAATTCTGAAAAATTCAGTACTTCATCTTAGGAACTCCTTTAGGATTGGATCTCTGGGAAATCTTTGACTTCATGCAGTAACATATCTTCATGATGACTTGTTCCTGTTATTTTACTATATCCCTCCATTCCTCAGCTTTTCCCAACTATGCCACTTCTTTTGTGTTGAACATAGAGCTTGCTTACCTTGTTTGACATATCTCGATTCTTCCTAGCTGATAATCATCAAAGTGCCTCTAATAACTTACGGTAGATAAATTAGCAATAACAAGATCATATGAAATAAGACATATTTTATCTTGAAATCTTTTTAATGAAGTTTTGTATCAAACCAACTTTTTCCACCAATTCTGCCACATACATTTCACTGGCTTTTGCCAGGGCATAATTTTAATATTACCATAGTATTAAAGAGAGATGAGGAATTAAAAATTTTCTCTCACTAAATAAATCTTGTTTAAGGTATTATCGAAAGAAAAATGTCCCTTTGAGACACAAGAGTGGTTTAGAAGGGATCTTTTTTGGGGTCATGTATCCAAAATCTGGTCAGGTTCTTACATCAAGCTGCTCTCACAAGGACACATATCTCCACTGGCTATGGGCAGAACCTGAGACCACCCTTCTGGCCCTAAATGTCCTATTTTCTCTACCAGTAACTCTGCCTCTTCATTTTTTCCTATTTTTCCTTTTGTTGGCTGCATGGCTCTGTGTGTGGAGCCTGCAGTGGTGATATGGTCTTGTTACAATTAGAGGAAAAAAATGTAGTACATATTTACGTGCAGACACACATTTATACACAAATATGAATATACTATATACATTGTGTTTGACCCTCATCAATTTATCTGATTTTAGAATTCAAAATAAAAATTGAGCTATTGACTTTTTGGTCCAACCCATGATAGGGAACAAGATCTGAAATTCCAAAAACGCCCCTATGATAGAAACAGATATTTCCTGCTCAGATCCAGTCTTTCTTACTTTTCCTTTCTTTCCTTAAGTGTACCTCTTGTTCACCAATATCACAAAAACTGCAGTGACCTTTAGTTTCTGTGTATTTGACCTCCTCTTTGAAGTTTTGAAGGGATGTTATTAAATAGAAATACGGTTCAGTAACTAGTGATATTTCTAAGAGATTCCTCCTTAAGAGTATTTGAGGTTAAATTAGCCATTTCCAAAAATGAGAAATATTTTCCCAGTGACTCTCAGCAACCTGTTGTGCTGGACTCATTATGCAAGTGAAATTTCCAAGTTTCCTAGTCCACTTCAACAGTCCAACAAAGCTTTCAGAGAGATTAGAGCAAAAAATAGATTATCAATAGAAATAGGGTTGGTTTTTCCTTTTTACTGTATCTGCATTCTTCATTTTATAAATGATGCACAGATTCAGAAGATAATTTTTGAGGAGAAAAAAAGTTGCAACTGTATTTTTGAAAGTAAGTAAAAGTTTTGACATAGCAGTAGGGTTGAAATAAACCCATAGGAACTCAGCTTCATGCCAGCAGCCTTGAGTTTTTTTACTGAAATATATCAGCTGTAAAGTCTGTAGCCCCATAGTATCTGTAAACTTAAAGGTAAACTTTCATTTGGCTATATGTAGATTCCATAATCCAGACCTAGCTGGGAGGAATGGTGTCCCTACACAAGAAAAACAAATAAAAATCAGTATAATATGTACAGCACCTCTGAGTTCAGCAAAGTGTCTCTGTCCTCATAATTCCTTTCCCCCCATAGTTCTTTTAATTTGACAGAGTTTGTCTGCTAAAAATTGCCAAATGATTTGTGTAAACTGAGCATTTCCAGAGTCACAGAGTGAAATCCTTGTAAAAAGGATGCAGCATATTCTTTCCACATTTTGACAAAAGAGTAGGCAATGGATAGACCCAATGGATTGAGATAAACAGGACCATCTCCATTTTCCTAATCCAAATTCTTATCAATCAATGCTTTAGTTTATAATTTCCAGTTCTTTCTACCGAAATAGGAAAATGTTCTTTTATGGATGCTGGATTGCAGTTAAGTGATTTTTCTGAAAATTTTCAGCACTGAAAATGATTGATATCAATTTTTTTACCCAACTCCAAAGTCAATAAATAAACAAGAAAAAATTCAATAAAGAAAAAATATTTACGGAGATGAGATGTTCATGGCACTTTATTTCACACTTTAGTCACCAGGAAACAGTTCACTTCAGATACTGGGATTAAAACTTGCAGTTTGGCACCAAAATGTAGGCTGCTAACCGGAAGGGGAGACATCTATCTCCATAAGATGGACTAATCAAGAAAACTGCGCTGTATATGGTAGCCTGACATGGGTATACTAAAGTAAAGGGTAGCAGTCCACGTTCATCCATCATATAAAAGTCAACCTTCATGAGGCAGGCTCAATGATTGAAAAAGGATATTTTTTTATGCCTCACAAAGTTTTCATTTAGACTTTATAGCTTTTACTTTTCACCTTCTCTGTATGAACTTGTCATCTGTTTCATGGCAGGTAAATCATTGAAGAATAACAGATGCGTAGCTACCCACAGACACGTGGCATTTTGTGACTTATATTCAGTGAAATAACCTGCATATAATTATATTAAAATAGATCCCCAAATTTTCTTGCAATTTTTAATTACATTTAAAAAATCATATATACTAACTTTAGTTTCCCTGAGATGTGAATCAAAAAATTTAATGATAGGTCTAAAATAAGGCCTGCAAAAGCAGATGCCACCTCTTCCTCCACCAGAGAAGTTAGAAAGGCAAAGGTTGATGACCCTATGAAATAACTGTCCAGAGTAGAAATATTACTGGAATTCTTGCAAGTAGGAGTAGATTGGAAGTGGTCTTTCAATGAACAGCTTACACCAGACAAAATACTATACAAACTGATTGGATGTAGCCTCTGACAGACTGAGGACAGTGAAAGAGTGATGGAGCAACATCAAGGTTGCAATAGCTGTATGATGTAATTCCACTTATCCTCTGTTTGTTGCATGGTATCATATTCTTTCTCTACACAAATACATGGACTAAGCAGGGCTATTCAGTGAAAATTTAGAATTTAGGTGGGAGAGTTCACGTAAAAGTTCATTACCACATTTCTCAACTGAAGAATTCTTGGTCTTCACAATTTTTACTTCAGGGTCCAGGAAGAGACATCACAAATCTCATCAGGAGAATCAGCATTTGATATGAAAGATTGTGGCTAAAATACAAAGCCATTTTGTCAGATTAAAAATGTATTTCACAATTACAGTACAGTGTAACATTACACACATGCATAGTACTACCATTGAACAAGGAATATCTAATCACTTGGTGTAATTAATCCAAATTTATATCATACTATTAAATTATCCATATTTGTCTGGTAGATTTTTTAAATTTGCGTTCTTTGAAAGAAGCAAAATATGACTATCACTATACTAAATTTTAAAAGGTGAAAGATTAAACTTTGCATTTCAGTCAGTGATTGTATCTAAATTTATGCATCCTTCAAAGAATATATATACATCCTTTAAAGATGTCTTTTAAAAATAAGAAGTTCAGCTAAATTCTTAACCAAATTGAAATCATTAAAATAAATGTTTTGTTATGTCTTTTTGTAAAGAATGATAAAGAACGTCATAGATGTTGTAGCTGTTTCTTAAATTGCTTTTGAGAGTGAAATCCTGGCTTTTAGATACGATTGGAAAAAAAATTTTTCAAAAAAATATTATAAAGCTCAAACTAAACTAGAGTATGCATTTTTACAGTCTTGACCTATACGTATATTTCTAGTGTTTTAATAGGAGAATGGAAAACTTTAAAATTAAATATGTATAACAAATTCATGATTAGTCATAAGTGACATCATGATGAGACGCTATTGACCAGAGAATAACTTGTACTTGCATATTCTAGGCTGCGAACTATCACTCATGCATCCCACTGGCACAAGAGAAGAAACACTGATCCAACAGAGAATTATTCTACCTGCTTGTACCCACATATTTTTATCACCACAAAGTATTATTTAATCAAATGGTTTTATTTTGCCCTTTTAAAATATCACTACTCTGTGACCATATCAGTAGCATGTCAAATGTAAGTCTCTTTATTCCCACAAAAAAACGGTTTTGGATTTATTTCAGAAATTACAGCTCTTATTCATGAGCATTTTTTTTTAATGCTACCAAGAACAAAAAGATAACATGGATTAAAATAAAAACAAGAACTTTGTGAGTACTTCTGAAAGATTCCTTTAGAAAGTTCTCAGGTTTATGAGGGGTGATACCACTGTAACTTAGCAGATCTAAAATCAAAAATATTGTCATTTTGGTTATGTATGAGTGTAGTACAAGAGTATTTATAAGTCAGGACTTCAAACAGTATCTGCCTCCTATATTTGTGAGCTAGAAGGCCTAAAAGGCATTTTGACTAATTAGCTGTTCACTTATGAAGTAAATAACCTGATCTCCAGTGGAAGTGTGCCGGTATCCATACTGGTATTGTTCCTGGAAAGGGAAAACAGTTCAAGTCTCGACAGGGTTTTTCTGGACAGGTTATCCCCCAGTGGCTCAGATTGTTCAACTGCTCAGACTAAAGACACAATTCCCTTTTCCCACTCAGCATATCTCTGTTCCGTCTCTTTAAATGCAGTTGAGCTGAATAAAAAAGGCATCTTTGGTCCATAAGGGCCTGTTTGGAACAGGTTACGCATTCATGTTCAATAGTTCAGTACCATATTTAATGAAGCTATATCATGGGGGTACACTGGTCCCAAAGACTGATATGTTTTTACATCCTGTATTAGGTTTTTTACTGCCTCTTCACGCTATGGGTTCCATCTCCATGGTTTTCCCTTTCAAAAAAGTGTGTACAGAGGGAGAGCAATAATGGAAAATCTAGGCACAAGTTTTCTCCAATATCTTAAATTTCCCATTAACTGTTGCAATTTTTTCCTAGATGGGGTCATCTGCAAGTATTCTGTTTTTCTTAAGGTGTCTGAAGGAATCACCACACGGTCTGCTATATACCAAACAACCAAAAATGTTATATCTTTACTTGGCCCTTGACATTTCTCAGGTGGATTCTCAACTTCTACTTCACAGGGTGCTTGTCACACTGCTGTTGCTGCTTCCCCTACCTTTTCAGGAGAATCTCCTTGAATTATATGATCTATATATTGATTGTATGTATATACATATAGAGAGAGAGTGAGAGAAGTAAAATTTTGCATCGTGAGAGAGTGAGACTATCTGTAAAAATTCAGCAAACACAGCATGAGGAGTCACAGCTAAGTGTTTATACCTCTGTGGGAGTCTAGTAAATGTACATTGTATACCTTCACAAGGCAAAGCAAATCTCTTTATATCCTCACCTTGTAAGGAGACTGTAAAGAACATATCTTTTAAGTCTAGCACTTCCATCCATGGGTGTGCAGCTGCTTGTGGTGTGGCTGTTAGGTTTGCGCTATTGGGTATTGCAGCTGTTAGTGGGGCTCTGTCAGCACTTAAGCACTGGTAATCGTTGTTACCATCTCCTGTCTAGTTTTTGGACTGGCCAAAGCAGTGAATATGAGGCATCTGGAGATGATTTGTCATTTCACATCACATATTTTTTTATGCAAATTACTAACACTGTGAACTTCCACTGAATAGTGAAAACTCAAGCTATATGAGCAGCTGCCTATCTCCTTACTGTGTTCTGTTCCCTGACTAATTCATCAAATCTTTACAATGAAGAGGAAATGCATGTGAAGAAAAGAGATTGCTAAATCCTTCAGGGAATAAAGTAGAACACTTAGAAGGGAGTTATGCAATATAAGTGACGATAAATATATACATATTTAGAGCACTTTGAATCTTTTCAGTTCCTCTTTACAATGTAGTTGCCTGTATCTTTAGGCCTTAGGGATAAATTCTGAGGTCGATTAACTGGATTTATTGACAAGCTTGAAATTTTACCTTTTCTGTTTCTTCTTTCTGATTTCTGTTGGCAAACTGTAGTTATTTGGAACTGGAGTTACGAGGGGAACAGGTGGTGCTTGAGAAATTTCAGCAGGAATTTACTTCTCCATCTCTGTTTGGCAAATGAATACATACACTCTGCAGGAGAAAAAAAGCAAAGCTGTCCCAAAAACTGTTTGTGTAATGCACATATATTGAAGAGAAATAAGGAGAATGCATGTGTTGAAACTACTGCATTATCATTTTCATATAATTTATTTAGGATAAGACTAAATCCACAATTAAATAATATACAGTCACATAAATAGAAAGCATAAAACAGAGAAGCCTTGTCTTCTAGCCAAAGGGGAAATTGAGATTCACAATCTCCCACCTAAAGACACTTGGCTCTTACTTCTTGTTAAATGTGCAAATCTGGGTCTTTACATCAAGCACCTCTACTGAGCGAATTGTAAACGGAGAAATAGTTCAGGCAATACTCTACAGATTAGCATTTAAACATGTCCTTAACCCAGGGCAAGCCTGTGACAATTCTTTCATTGCGAAAGCAACCCTTTTATACCCCTTTTAAGCATCTTTTCACTCACAATGTCCTCATCCATTCCATGGTTGTAAATACTAGTGGGAAGCTCCTAATATATGCTTTTAGATGCTAGAAGTGGTATTGATACATGATTCAGTTGGAATGTTGTAAAATAAAGTGCAGTTATATGAAAATGTCATATTACCTGAGGGAGTACTACTCTGTGTAAAAGGAATGTGCTAGCTCAGCACAGAAACATAATCATGCCCTTTCTTTCCTGCTCTGCACTTCAACAGCATTTGCTGGAGAGAGGTTGTTTTCAGCTGTCATGTCTTTTTTGGAAGTTATATCATTACATAGTTTCAGACATTTTAAAAAACCCTTGTAACAGCAACTGCACTTCAGTCAGTCGTGTTTCATGAACATTAAAAATGCCAAATCAAACTCATAATGAGACTGTCCAATTCAAGTGCCCTTATCTTTGGTTTATCTCTGATTTTTACAACCAAGAGCGAAGACTGGCCTTTTAAATACCCTTTCTGTATGCATCCTATGAAACAGCATTGCCGATATATAGTGAAGTATAGTCTGCTAAATTGCAGTAAAATGACTGAAATTTCACTTCAGTGGATTTTTTTTCTTTTTATGGAGCATCTTAGTGTTGATTCACCCTGTTGTGCTATCAGTTCAGAGAATTATGAAATAATGAGGATGAATTCTTTCACACATTACCATCACTGTCCCATTTCTTTCATTCCTAAACTGCAAGAAAGGTCCTTAGGGGGGAAGATTTCTAGACTGCTGCTGCTGTATTTTCCCTCAGCAGAGCAGCATTCCACCAACCCATAAATGAGAAACACTGTTCCAAGTTAAAATCTTAGTTCATCCTCCAACTGCAGCTGAGGCTGAACTTTAGTCTCTAACATGTTCTATCCTTTTTGTCTACTGGTGTTGCCAGAGTGGCTGCACAACTTACGTCATGACCAGCAGTAACAGCAATAGCAGAAGAGCATCTTCTGCCCTGCAAAGCAAACTTGAAACAGAAAACTTGAGAGGGACATTGGCTAACTGGAGATAAGCCAGTAGGGAGGAAGAATCAAAAGGGATAGGATGGCCACCCAAGTGAGTTGGTTTTTTGTGGTAAAAAGTTATAAGATTAGAAATAAAAATCAGATTTTACGGTAGCAACATGGGTCTCATTACTATAATCTAATGCTTCACTTTGTTGTGTTACCCTCAATATTTTCCTCTCCTGGTCATTTAATCATGTTTTTCCCCTATTAAAATATTTTTGCTGGCTAGCTCTAGCTTTCCACAATGCCATAAAGCTCTTGGGATTTGTCTATGGCTTAGTACAACTTTATGCTGTATACAACTCTGGATGCATATTTTCTCCATCTCTAGTCTTTTGTTTTCCTCTTTCAGAGATGATTTGATATAGTGGTTAATAATTTATTTGGCTATTCAGAAAACATTAACATAACACTGAACTGAACATAACTGATCAAATATAGAGGGAAAAGTTACTGATCAAATACAAAAGAAGGGGAAAATTATTTTAATTGATCAAACAGATTAACTATCAGTATCTCTTCACTGCCCCAGCACTCTGTTTTATTTATTTTGGCTTTTTTTTTTCTTCATGAACACACCCCATGATAAACCTGATGTTTTGGATGACTGTCAGCAGTGTATTTGCTACCTTTCTGCTTAAAGCTTACTACTTCTGCAAAAAATCATCAGCAACCCCACAGGATTTTCTCTGCAAGGTAAATTTGCTTGCAGTGAACTTTATGACTAAACTGTGACCAGTACAAAACCAGAGTAATTTACAGCTAGATTAAGTATCTTAAAGTTACTGTTCAGTCACTGAAATGTTGTCGTATTCCTATTTTTCTCAGTGGGAAACAAAATCTTGTAAGGCCTGTCTGTGCCTTTTATTTTTTGTTGTCACTTATGAGCCAGACATTTCCACATCCTTAGCTCTTTTATTTTACTCTTGCACAATGAGCCCAGTTGTTCCAGTTTCTCAAAGCATTTCTCTGTGGATCACAATGCACACCTTATGTTGATGAATTACTAACACATAATTGATAAATTCCATAATATTCAAAAAGAGGATGCAGAGACATGGATGGCACTCAGGGAGAAGCAGTTAGGGCGTATTCCCATACGATGTAAATCAGGACAGCTCGACTGTTATCGACAGGTACTCTGGTTTACACAGCTGAAGTGATGGTTAACTCTCTTTCAGCTTTGTTAGCCTTTGCACTACTCCACTGAGATCCTTGACCTTCCGTCTTAGTTTCAGAGGTATCTTCGTGTGTTTACACTCTTCATACCATCTGCTGTTTATGGAATGACTCATTAATTAAATTCTTCTACATGCGAGAACAGGAAGACTTTTCTCAAATGTATAAACACCGTGTTTTCTCTGTGTCAAACTGCTTCTGCAGAACCCTCTACCATTGTGATAGTCAGTGCTAATGTACAGAACTGTTGACTATACCCACCCCCCCAATCTGCTCTGCAGTGGTACATGAGCTGAACTGATTACTCTGGTGTTTACACTGCTCCAGAGATATGATTTCTGTTATAAGTCAAAAGAAGAGTAGTTATCTTAGCCTAGACCAGAGTTCATGTGAACATTGTGACTTCCTTGCTGAATAGGAAAATTTTATGAAACTTTTTATGCAGACATATATCTGATTACCCAGTAATATCTTTACAAAAATAAAATTATGTCTTTTATTTGTATATTTTAACTCTCAAAGTGAAGCTCCAAAGAAAAAAAGAGTGTGTTTGCTATGACAAAAATGAAAAAGAGAATGACATAGAAGCCAAGAATATATTAGGTGAGATTTTGCCAGTAGCAAATGTTTGCTTGCAAGTAATAAACCCTGCAGCAAGGAAACATGTAATGAATCTGCTAGAAAAGTCCATGTATTCAGTCGACAAGTTTTAAGTGCTTTTGTGAAATAAGATCAGTTATTTAACAAAATAAGATGCAGAAATGAAAGTCTAATTTACTAAAGCAAATGTATTTGGCTCTTTTTCAAAATTAAATGTTTTAGGAAAATGGAAGTTGCATTTAATATCATGTGATATGCCTACATAGCAATTATATTAAACAAAATTATCACTGTGTTACTAAATTTCACAGTTTTTCAGAATTTGTGGTGCTTACATACCATGCATTTACACTGACCAAGAAAAGTAGTAGCTTACTCATGCAATAAGATCTATTGGGAAATTGTGGTAATCCAGGCAGAACAACTAAATTCTGCCCTGGTAAAGTCAGTATCTTGGCTCCAATAGAAATTATGTGCAATCACTGTTAAATTTATGGTTAGAAAATCTGTAACTTAATGAAAACGATTTATGGGTTTTTAAGATGGCAGTAAATTGCATAAAATGAAATGAAATAAATTACAATTTTTTTAATTGCCTTGTCATATGTTTTCAAGAGTCATGTCATCCTGTATGTTTGTATAATCCCTACGAGAATGTATTCACTAATGACTGTGGCATATGGACAGACTTTCATTAAAAGTATAATAATAATAGTACTTAGAAATATCAGAAGAGAAAACTAACTTATCAAAGAAATATAATAAGATACCTCCTATTGATTTAAAAGAGTCTATGAAGTGTAAACCCATACTAAAATATTGTGCTATGCTATGGAAAAAAGAAACTTGCTAAGCCTATTTAGACATGGACATACCATAATTCCCTGTTGCTACTTTGATTACAATGATGTTAAAGGGAAAATTCTTGATATTGACCAATGTTTTGATACTCAGGAAGTCTTAACTACTTCTTTAGAAAAGGTGAGAAATAAGGCAAGTTCCTTAATAGAAGGGAAATTAGAAGGCTGTGCTGCCAGCAACAATTTGAAAATATTCCTACAAATCTTTGAGAGAAATCTACAAATGACATCCCATTTGCTTTATGTGCCAATTGACATTATGGGGCAAATCTTGCCCTGTCCATAAAATATGGCTCAATGCAACAAGGCAGGAATAATTTGTGGTAGGATTTAAACTTTCCTGAAGAAAATGGATGAAAGAGTAAATGAGAAGAAGAAGCATGTGGTACTGAACAAGAGAACAGTAGAGACAAAGGAAGTAAGAAAATTTCATACCAGGCAAAATAGTAGGTACCTACTCACAAGTTGGAGAATGTTAGATTACATTTATTTGTGAATGACTTTCCTCCTGAGATATATATACACAGACGGTTAGTTACTGAGCTGAAAAATATTATATTAAAACAAATATATCTAAACTTAAGATAAGCGGTGTGTCAGTCTAACACATTTTTTTGATTGAATTATTGACTTTGAAAGAAAAATACAATTTAAGCAGGCAAGAAGCAGAAACACAATTTATGTTTCTTCTGTACCTTCACTAAAGAATCAAAGAATACTAGTGCTCTGCTTATATTCTAAAGGGTATTATTATTTTTCAGGGTAGACTTCCCTAAGTGAAAGGCCATAATGCAAGAACACAACAGCCATTTTGTTCAGTCTGTTTTACTGGCATAGACTATAATTCAACTAACTTCCTCCTGTGAATTACAATTTCCAGTCAGCCCATTCCCAGTTCAGAAG